AAATCAGCATCAATTCCTTTATTTAAAAAATCACTCAAAACGCACTTATTCCAACAATAACATGAAGCGCCACTGATAATTACTTCGGTTTTTTAAATGGCGCTATATAAGTTCTTACTTTATTATATATATATATATTAATTTCCGATGTATATTCTTTTTAGGTTGTTTTCATTGTGTATTTATTTTTGCTTTTTAAAGATATTTTTGTAAATATTAATCATTTTATCATATTGTGTATAATCTGCTTGCAATTAATGCAATTAATTTTTAAATAATAAAAGCAGAATGAATATTTCCTACCTTGCCATTTTAAATACCAATGATGATAATGATTTCACCTATGATAAGACATATTGCAAATAATGAAAAAATATTATAATAATAATTATAATATAGTTTGATATAAATTTTTAGTTAAATAATCCTGTGTTTATTTAAAAATATATTTACTAAAGGAAACATATTTTCATGATTCTTTTATAAACAGCATTGAATGGTTATTGTTTTCTATTAAAGGTATGGTTCCAAAACCGGCGAGCAAAACTGAAGCGGCAATATATGAATACGAATATACCTCAGTCGATGTTCCCGATCAAATCACTTCAACGTAACATGTCATCAGCCAATATGTCGAACACATGCCAGCTCCCAATCAAATCGTGGCTTCATCTGTCTTCACAAAAATCTGAAAGACTATCCAAGCAATATTATTCAGGCCTTCTATTCAGTCAAATTGATGCAAGTCCTCTAAGACACCCAATTGCTGCTAGTTTTCCGATCTATCCGGTACCATTTCACGTCAAGCAACGAAGCCCAACTACATTGGTTATAGAAGGGTCTCATTCCTGGAAGGATCCTTCTAGGGATACAAGTATATTGTTGCTACGAAGGCGTGCGAAAGAACATCTGCACTTGCCCGAAAAAGCAATGTCCAACTGAAAACCAAGATCATCCATTGAGTTGAATCAGTGACGAAATGATCTGAAAGGGTTCATTATAGATAAGCGCTCACAATGTGGCTATCAACAAATACCAAGTTTTATTTGAACAAATGTTTTTCGTCCCTCGAATAAAATCATATCAAAATATTTTTTATGATATTTAATATATATAATATTTAAGTCAATATTGTTTGAACTTTCTGAACAAATTATTATACTAGAACATTGAATATTTTAACGCTTTATTACTAAAGTTGTCTGGTTTTAAATTAATGTAATAGGTTTTGGTAAAAGTTTAATATAACAGGTTTTCGACCTGGTTTAAATTGGGTTTAATTTCATTAAAACTTCATTTTTAACACGCCATGTTGCCTTGGCATTTTACCATCGTGAATTCCATTACTATTGGTACATACTTTTATCTATGTAGGTTAATTTTAGTAGAAATTTAAAGGTTCAAATATGTTCAATGATTTAAAAAAATGTATTTTACTTATCAAAATAGACATTATAAAAATTCTTAATATGTCAATACAATAATTGAAAACAATTTTTTTTTAAATATATTTAAAAACGCCATAGTGCCTTGGTATTTTACCATCGTACTTGCCTTCAAATAACATCTCAGTAAATTCCCTTTTTTTAAAAATAGGTCAATACAATAATTGAAAACGAATCTCCCAATTAGAGTAAAATATTTTTTTTTCTCCAAATCTTAGATCATTTGGGGTCAAAGTTTGTTCGTTTTTACATCATTATTGCACTTGGCGTCAAATAAAATCTCAATATTTTTTTTAACTTAAACTTAATTGTTATTAAGTTCAAGTTCAAGTTTATTTCGCAGCTTCCATAAGAAGCTAAATTGTATTAATGTGTACGTCAGTACATTAAAACAATATATATATATACTGTCTCTTATACCCATCT